TCTTGCTCCTAGTAGCAAGGCCAGGAGCCCCTAGTAGTTTCTTGCTCCTAGTAGTAAGGCTAGGAGCCCCTGGTAGCTTCTTGCTCCTAGTAGCAAGGCCAAGAGCCCCTAGTAGTTTCTTGCTCCCAGTAGTAAGGCTAGGAGCCCCTGGTAGCTTCTTCCTCCTACTAGCAAGGCCAGGAGCCCCTAGTAGTTTCTTGCTCCTAGTAGTAAGGCTAGGAGCCCCTGGTAGCTTCTTGCTCCTAGTAGCAAGGCCAGGAGCCCCTAGTAGTTTCTTGCTCCTAGTAGTCAGGGCAGGAGCCCCTAGTAGCTTCTTGCTCCTAGTAGTAAGGCTAGGGGCCAGCTAGTAGCACGGCCAGGAGCCCCTAGTAGTTTCTTGCTCCTAGTAGTCAGAGCTTCTTGCTCCTAGTAGTGAGGCCAGGAGCCCCTAGTAGCTTCTTGCTCCTAGTAGCAAGGCCAGGAGCGCCCAGGAGCTTCTTGCTCCTAGTAGCGAGGCCACGAACCCCTAGTAGCTTCTTGTTCCTAGATGTTCCTAGTAGTACGGCTAGGTGCCCCTAGCAGCTTCTTGCTCCTAGTAGCAAGGCTAGGAGCCCCTAGTAGCTTCTTCCTTGTAGTTAGGCAAGGAACCCCTAGTAGCTTCTTGCCCCTAGTAGTAAGGCCAGGGGCCCCTAGTAGCTTCTTGCTCCTAGTAGTAAGGCCAGGAGCCGCTAGTAGCTTCTTGCTCCTAGTAGTAAGGCCAGGAACCCCTAGTAGCTTCTTGCTCTTAGTAGTAAGGCCAGGCGCTGCTGGTAGCTTCTTGCTCCTAGTAGTAAGGCCAGGAGCGCCTAGTAGCTTCTTGCTCCTAGTATTCAGGCCAGGAGCCCCTAGTAGCTTCTTGCTCCTAGTAGTAAGGCCAGGAGCTCCTAGTAGCTTGTTGCTCCTAGTAGTATGGCCAGGAGCCCCTAGAACCTTATCGCTCCTAGTAGTAAGGCAGGAGCCACCAGTAGCTTCTTGCTCTTAGTAGTAAGGCCAGGAGCCCCTAGTAGCTTTTTGCCCCTTAGTAAGGCCAGGAACATCTAGTAGCTTCTTGCTCCTAGTAGGGGCCAGGAGCCCCTAGTAGCTTTTTGCTCCTACCCCTAGTAGCTTCTTGTTCCTAGTGGTAAGGCCAGGAGCCCCTAGTAGCTTCTTGCTCCTAGTCGCAAGCCCAGCAAGCCCAGGAGCCCCTAGTAGCTTCTTACTCTTAGTCGGAGTAAGGCCAGGAGCCCCTAGTAGCTTTTTGCTCTTAGTCGTGCTAAGGCCAGGAGCCCCTAGTAGCTTCTTGCTCCTAGTAGTAAGGCGGGAGCCCCCATTAGCTTCTTGCTCCTAGTAGTAAGGCCAGGAGCCCCTAGTAGCTTCTTGCTCCTAGTAGCAAGGCCAGGCGCTTTTAGTAGCTTCTTGCTCCTAGTAGTAAGGCAGGAGCCCCCATTAGCTTCTTGCTCCTAGTAGTAGGGGCAGGAGCCCCTAGTAGCTTCTTGCTCCTAGTAGTGAGGCCAGCAGCCCCGTCAGGCCAGGAGCCCCTAGTAGCTTCATGCTCCTAGCTACAGTTTTTGCACTTGCCTGTGTGAAAGACGTCGACAATTTCGAAGCATTCCGTTGATTTGGCATACTTCATGGACCACGATCTACCATGACCATACTGACTATATGTCGTATTATGCCGTGACCAGTTCGTGAAATCATCCCAGGTCATTGGTGAAATCACCCAAAGCCTTTTTCGTTTTCACTTTCCCTTCTGACTGACTCAGGAGGTCTCCATGGAGGAGCTTGAACGACTCCGAGCAGCGTCGAAAAGAGCCGATGCGCAGATGCGTTGATCGCAGACGGTACTACGGACGTTCACCGGTCACTAGGGTCGTCTACGGTCGTCTACAGTCGCGGTGGCAGGAGGACCGTAGCTAGGCGCATGGACGCCTTTCGGGCTACCTGTGTAGATAATCGCACAGGTGGGATTTGGTGACCTCAAAAGAGCACAGCGTGTTGTTGGGGACCAGTTCTCGGAAGCCGATGACTTCCAAGGCCGCCGGTGGACTTCAACACCTTGGCACCCACCAGCCTGCGAAGCTTCGTGGTGCATGAGGAGCCGCGGATGGTCGCGGTGCCACAGTTCCTGAGCAGTGAAGAGTTGGAGTCTCAGCGAAGCCCCCGAGGGACCGAGAAGCTGAGACGACGGGATTTCTCGGTTCGAAACGAGTAGCCAAGCAGAAATGATAGAGACAAGTTATTTTAGGCTGTGCGGATGGGAAGTAGGCTAGCTGCTACAGTGATTTGCAGTGATTTGCGGGTGGGAGTGATGGGACGCATGCGAACTGAACAACTCCCAAGCTTGAAGGCTCAAGACGATGTTCAAGACAGCAAGACAGAGCCAGACGGTCAGGTGATTACACCAAAAAAACACAGAAAGCGCATGGCTTCAAGGTCTAATAAGGTCAGATTTCAGAGCTTCCATGACTTCAACCATGTTTTGACCTGAGATGTTGTTGGGCAGATGATTCATGGTGCGACCGCGGCTCATAGGCCTTCCCTAAAAAAACTCTTCCCAAGAGAGCGAGGTTGACTGCAACGCATGTTGTTTCTCTTGAATTAGGGCCGTGTGTGCAAAAGCAGCCTGCTAACATGTATTTTATACCCACAATTTTGCTTCAGTCTCGCAGGCCTTTTGGCCGCTCATTTTGCCTCGTCAGATCTCAGTCGGGTGGAGCGGCTGCGCCGAATCTTGAGCTGAGAGAGCTGTCCTTTTATTTTTAGGTTAGTGTGATCCAGAATGTGTGGATTCGATAAGCCGGCAGGTGAGTTTGGTTAATGCGTGTGAGTGGGCCCAAAGCGCTCTGGACTTGCCGAGGGTTGCTCCACTCAGTGGAGGAGCAGACTTGGCGTGTTCCGCTCTTGGTCAGCTGGTCAGCAGAAGAGGCAGAGGTGCGCTGAGCAGCGCAGTGCTCCTGAGCTTTGCTGCATGACATCCGCTTGACCTGACAGGCCGACAAGGCCTATGGCGTGGCCGGAAAAGCACAAGCCGTCCTTGATGAGTTCCAAGAGAGGCACCCCACAGACTTGGTGGGTGATGGTCTCATTTAAGAACATTGGCTTTAGCTCAGTAGCTCAACAGATCTTCAAAGACACTAAATGGATGGCTCTAGAATTCAATGGGTGGCTCTCGAATTCTTAGGCTCAAAGAACTGTTCTTCTAAGAATCCGTTCAACAAGTACTGTTCTTCTTAGGCTAGCTCAGCTAGTTGAATAAGAATCCGGATTGTTCTTTGCAGTTTTCGTTGCCACTTCTACAGGGGTGTCATCCATGCAATGCCTCGCTTGCGTGGCCGGCGCTCGCAATTCCAGCACTACGCGCGCTTGAGGGACTGGCTGGTGATTTTCTGTAGTAGTTAGTAGGCACCTTCTTGTTACTACTAGTAAGGCACTTGTTACTAGTAGCGATGCACTTGTTCCTAGTAGCTACTTAAGTAACCTACTAAAAACAATAAGCTACTAGGAACAAGTGCATCGCTAGTAGGAGCAAGGGCCTTACTACTAGGAACAAGAAGCTACTAGAAACAAGAATTAAATTAAGTATATAAGTGAGAGCAGAGCAAAAAACAACAAAAACACAGAAGTCACGTGGCCACTGGAAAAAAAAGCGACCAACCATGCCCGATGTTCCAGGAGAGCCTCAGGCGGCATGTAGGAGATGATGCGCCGTGGGTCTTTTTCTCCGACGATGATGCACCTTAGATAGACGAGTAGACGTTGAAAAGGAGGTGTCGACATGTCAAGCGCCAGCTTCGTTTGCTGAAGCTGAATCAAGGACCTTTGGCACCCGAAACGTGCGGAGGAATATGGTGCTGCGATTCAGGAGACGCTGACGTAAGAGACCATGCAGGTTGTTGAGACCATCACACTCCTGGGTGATTTTGGAGAAGCTATGCGCTGGACTTGACTTCACTTGGCGGTTTTTGAGACCTAGGTGTTTTGAGATGGGATGTTCAGTATTGCCTGCCCAGGAGAGGCCAAATCAAGAACCAGTAGTTCACTCCAGGTCGGGGAATGAAGGGATCTGTTCTGAGTCCTTGGATTGGCAGTGGGTGGGGAAAAGACTTCTCTTGAGCAGCGCTGAAGAATTATACTGCATGCCATTCTATGCCTTTGTGTGCCGCGTGGTTCCGTTCGTAGAAGCGACAAGACGCCACTTGGTCACTTGGTGGCGTGGCTTCTCCACTTTGTCTCAAGGTTACGTGTCCCTAAAACCACGGACCCAACAAGCAGGTGGTTTGTCCGATTCTGTTTGATCAACGGATGCACCTTATTGGACCAAAAATAGACCACAGTCCATTTGGACTCGGGTGAGCGGAGGCGGCTTGTGGTTTTGTCGTTGGTAGGTCGTTGGGTTCCGCCTCGTTTTGCCAGGATTCACCTGACGCCTGGGCTGGGTCCCCGTTTGCCACTCACTGCCCGTGCTGCGGACGTGACACGGATGGAGGCAGACGGGTTGCTACGTGTGGCCATCAGCGCGGAGCAGGTGCGGGTCAGAGAAGACTGACTTGTGACTTGATTTTAAAGTGATCAAGGTGATCAAGGACAATCTGATCAAGGCCTCCCTGTCTACGTGGGAGTGTAGCTTTAAACTTTAAACCACGCCCGGGAGTGGATATCCTCAGCTACGCCCCAGGGATTTGCAAGGCCGATCTGGGCTCCGCCTCTTTTTTGTGCGGGTGACTTGCTACACGGTTCTCCCGAGCAGGAAAAACCAGGACTCTTTGGTACGGCGACGGGCGAATACTTCGATGCCGCGGCGGAGTTCCATGTCTTTGATGCAGCTCGGGCTTTTGTGAGTCATTTTGCACCAACAATGTGTCCACTCTTTTTGAGTGTATTTGAATGAGAAGCTGTATCATCGCCGCGCGTTGAGCCTGCCCTGCGAAAGCTTTTGTTTCTTTGAGAAAGGACTTCTTTGAGCGGCACAATGACCGGGTCATTGCCAATCAGTTTGCGGACTCTCGGCAGCGCCGGGAGAAGCGGCTGGGGCCGGTGACCAGTCGAGGTGTCCTTTAGCGCCACGTCCTGGATGCGCTGGCTCGAACCATGGGGCCGGTCCATAAGAAGCTACGAACGGGGCGCAAACTGGCATCGAAACGAACGGAGCGATCGCACGCCACGAACGGGGCTCCTGGCCTTGCTACTAGGAACAAGGACGCTACGAGGGGCTCCTCGCATCGCTCTTAGCAAAACGGCCGTTCTTGCAAGCGAGGACATCCGCTTCAGAACTCATCTCTTGCGTGGTCCTGGCCGTGTGCATCGGTTTCTTCCGCGAAGCGCATCCGGCAACAATCGAGAAGGCCACCTTCCTTGGATGTATTTCTATGATCCTTAGCAGCTTCTGCCGACAGGATTTAGGAGGTGAACGGTGGAGTTTGGTGCCCCTCCCTCTCTCTCCCTTTCTTTTTGCAGAGGCCGACTCCCTTGGCATTGATCTTAAGCAACTGAAGACAAGACCATATACAAGACCAGAAGAAAGCATAGGTAATGCTGGTCACGTGTTCGGGATGGGAAATTGGGTTTGAGAAAGGGGATCGACTAGATCTCACGAAGTGCGGCTGAAACAAACCTCTCTACATACATGAGATGTGCGCCCAAAGAAACAGGGCCGCCCAAAGAAGCAGAGTTGATGTGCGCTGACCTATCGACCCATCGGGACATTGCATAAGCCAAGGCCCAAAGATGGAATGACGGTCCCCTTGAGGTGTTTCTTTTTTGCCGTTGAGCACGACTGATCCAAGGATAGGCCAACGATGCCTTACAGTACACCGCCTGGGGAGGAGGATCTGCAATATGTCTCCACCGAGTTGCCTGATCCAAAGTGCCTTGGTGGAGAATCACGACTTACAAGATCACTAATTACACTCAGATCTCTTCTTGGGGGCCCCAAAAATGCGGCGACCATCGTGAAAAGATGGCACATACACGTCCAAAGATCCCTCCTGCAGACTCTGAGGCGGATTGCCGGCATGCGGCAAACCTTGGACTGCGTGCTTTTTCAGCTGACCCCTACGAAAGGGCCGTTGGAGCAGGCCTCAGCCAGTTTCCTTCAACTGACATGGTTCCTCGGATCTTTCCCTGAATTTGATACAACGCCCTTGCAACCTTCCAACGACCTTTGCCTAAGGAGATCACCGAGCAGGAGTTTGCTCAATCCTTGGTTGGCACCTTGAATGAGGTGACCTCTGCTAGCGTGGAGACCTGAGCATCGGTGTGGGATCCGAAAATAGACTGCGGAAGTAACACAGTCTCAGACCTGCAAGGGAAGGTCTGTAACACATGGTGCATTTCCAAGAGCTTCTTCAAGCTTGTGCATTCCTCTTGCCCTGTGGAAGTCCACAAGGGCTTGTTCAAGCTTGTTCATTCCTCTTTGCCAAGGTGGCTATGGCCTTGGACCGTTGCCGGAAGCATGGAGTGAAAGTTGTGAAATCCTAGGTGTGGGTCCGCCACGCGAGATCAAAAGGAGCGCCTTTTGCGGCATAACTTCTGCGGCTTTAGGGGGATCAAGCTCCCTGCTTGATACAGTCAGCATCGCTTGGAGGTTGGAGGCCATATGGAGGCCATATTCAGCAGGAAATTCCAGAGATGACTCTGTTGACTGGCCAGAGGTGTGCCCACCTTTGTGAACTGGCGGAAGGTGGATGGATTCGCTCATTGGCACCGGCCCCAAGGGCATCCCAAGGCTTCAAGGAACTGAGATTAGTGATGCAATGGACTTCAAGTTCTCCTTTGTCTACTGTATTCATATTTATTCATTGCACAGTGCGTGAAACCACACACTGTCCATACCTGAAGCCAATGGCCTTGGTTGCACAATCAACAACACCCGCCGTAGAAAGCTTTGCCATAGGTTGGGAAGTTTGCAGATCCTTCAGCAGGGCAGACAGATACAGTCGCCACCACCGAAGCACAGCCCAAAGCTGAGCAAATCACCCAGTTGAAACGTTGTAACGTTGTAGATTTCATCAGTGGACCAATTTGTTGACGCGGATTTCTTTGGACCTCTAAGAGGGAAAAACCCACGGGGTTGATCATATTCAATCATATTCATCTGAAGCACGTAAATTAGTTCTCCATTTTTCCAAAGCACAAACGTGAGGACTCGAACCTCAAGTTCCTGTCCTTTGCGCCAGTGCCTCAGACGTGAGATCAGCACTGCCTTTTCGTGCCTTTTCGTGGCGTTCGTGGCACCCCAGGCCCTGCGCAAACCGCCATCGTCCAACGCATTGAGCTGCGGTTGGCACAGCTGGACTCTTTGACCAAACTGTGCTCAAAAGGATGTCAGCGTCAAACAAGGCATAGCAAGGCACAGGTATTTTCACCATGCAGCGACGCCTTGGCGACGCATGTGGGGAAAGAGCACAGTTGGCGCAGATCTGAGGCTAGCAAAACTACCTATCGAGACCCTGGAGAGACTGGTCGTTGTGCGCTATGAGTTCGGATGCCTATGGGCGTCGTGCAGATGTTCTATCACCAGAATGCGCTTGCTTGCTTCTCTTTCTCACCGCCTTCGCTTGTTAGGTTGTCTTCAATGCTATTTTGTAAAACTCAGTTGGTGACACGTGATTGCCGCAATCGAGGCCGGGCCAAGAATTTACTGTACATCATGCCTCGGGCCTCAGTTACCTCACTTCGTGAGTGAGAAGACAGTGAGAAAGCACAAAAACGTGCATGACAAATCGCAATGGAACCCACATGGCACATCTTGTAACCTAAGGATGGGAAGTTTCGGCCTATCACCATCTTTCTTTACCTCAACGAGCTCCCAGACAATGCTGGGGTCGAGACATGCATGAGTTTTCGGCAGATGTCTGCAGCAGACATGCAGAAAGCACGACGTTCACGCCAAGGATTGCCAAAGCATGACATAAGTAGCAAGTGAAGGGCCATCACCTCAATAAGAGTAACATATTCGTGAAGCCGAAGCAAGCCGAATAGATAAATGGAGTGTCCTGCATTTGGTCAATTGCTCGTTGCCAGGGCGACACGTTTTTCCCACATCTTGGCTTTAGCTTCGTTCCGAGAACAGGCAAGCGGACCAAAGCTTGAAGATCTTGAAGGAAAAGCCAACAGAGAGAAGCAATCAATACATATCAATACGAGTATCATTTCATCGAGTATCAATACGGGAACATGTAGTCTATTCTGGCGGTTTTGTACGTTTTGCACGCCAATCCACCCAAGACTCCCATCTGCAGTTTGCCACGTGGGAGAGCTGTTATCTCTTCTTCTTCTTCTCCTTCTTCTTCTTCTCCTCCTTCTTCTTCTCCTTCTTCTTCTCCTCCTTCTTCTTCTCCTTCTTCTTCTTGTTCCCCCTCCCTTTCTTCATGCTTTGAGTTATAAGATTGATTTCTTCAGAAAACGGTGAGAACGCACGAGCATCCCTTTGCTGAGACGATTGCACAGCGCCACTATTTGGCATCTTCTTTTTGGGGTCCTAATACTCATACTTTGACCTTTAGTTGTGATGGGTCGGAGCTGGCGGGTCAGAGTCGAAATCTCTTTGAGCTGGCGGGTCTGGGTCGGTGCCAGACTGGCAGCGTGTCTTCGAGGCTGCGCCGTGATGTGGCCCAACGCACAGCCTGACGGGAAGGAGGCGGGGCGAAAAAATGAGCGAACGAAGGAAGGAGGCGCCTGCATGAGCTGGGCTGATCATGGAAGAACTTCTCATTGAAATTGCTCCATGACAAACTCAGGCTTGTCGAAGACCCTTTGGGCCATGTTCCCCCTCTTAAGACCATCGCCAGTCAACTCACCAGATGAGCTGTGCGAAAGCATCGGACAAAGACATCATATGTAAGAGTCATAAGGCTTAGTCCTAAGGCTGTCGGGACCGTTCATGTCGACTCTTGAAGGATAGCCGCATGGTGCATGCTGGCCGGCCACCAACAGTTGGGGTCAAGTTCGGGGCCCAAGAACGGCAGTGTATCGCACCGGTGGCCGTAGACTTAGTTGGAGTGTACGGTAACCGTATGATTCGGTGCACTGGCTGCGTCCCTTTTGGGCTTTTGGCTTGTCATGGGTTCACCTTAAGACCTACTATGGCATATTTATGTGGCTTCTCTGTTAAGATTCTCCAACTATCTCCAACTATTAGAGGTGCCATTTCATTTGTGCATAACCATGTCATTCTTGATCAGAACGATCCTCATTTGTTTTGCATAAGAACTGTGCCAGAACTTCCAGAGCACTTCCTTGTTTACAAGAACTAGTAGTTGAGCTACTGTGGCTCAAAAGCAGGCTTCTAGAGTATGTAGTACTGGTGCTAAACACTCAGTACTCACTCCTACTTGGTTTCTTGTTGGTCAAGCATAAGCGCACTGACACAACTATGGTATCACCAGTCAAATCTTCTTGGACAATTCCTCAGCAAGCTGATCTCAGAGGCCAGGAGGTTCATAGGAGAGATGACACGACCGTGGCTGCAGCTTTTTTTGACCTCGTGATGAATCAGAATTCAAAAAGGTGAATGTGCTTGCACACACAAGATGTGCTCCAAAGGTACATGTGGCATGTCCGGCTCCAAACGAGGTTTGGTGTGAACTGCTTTTTCAATGTGGACACCAAGCGGCTGGCCGGCCCTGCATGCTTTCAACGCTCTTCGCACGCAGTTCGTCAATTCCAGATCAAGGATTCGCTTGAAGTAAGGAAGTGCTAAAGGGAAGTGCTGTAGCTTGGTGTTCTTTTCTCCTTGTCTTTTTCGTGCATGAAGTCGCACAGTTGAAGTGCTGCTGCGAAAAAATCCGTCAGATCTTCCTTTGATATTTATACATGATATAAACATAAATATATATATATATATATACAGAGAGATATACTATACTTTTAGCTGGTTGCAGGTGATGTCGCCCAGCATGAATATGGATGCAACGGAGGGAGCCTGAGCTTTTGACGCTTGAAGAAGTTGCTCACACCCCGCACTAGATGTACTGGACACTGTGCGACCGGATGTTTTTGCAATGTTCTTCTTCAGGAATGTCACCGTGTCGATGTTGCTGCTCTTGAAGCTCAGCTGGTCAATGTTGAGGCAGAAGTTTTCGGGGTTTGTACTGCAACTTCCCACTGTTCGTATGTCGAACCTTACGATGATGCACTTCACCACAGGACCCATCGGTACGCCGAAGGACCTTCACGCTTGCTGCTCAGGTCTAACAGGTTGGGTACCCTAGCTGTGTAGTAGGATCGAACTGGCCACGTGTTTGACCGTGAGGTTGAATACTGAACCTCAGATCCGTGCTGTGCAAGACTTAGGGTATTTGCTTTGGTCTCTTGTAGAGTTTGAGAGAGAGAGAGAGAGAAGGTGAGTGAGCGAGAAGAAGGTCTATCTTCCCGTCTCTCAGGTGCCACATTTCCTGACTCCTGAGGAGGCGAACGTAACGGCTTTGGAAACGCTTGGAATGAAGATTGGTGTGAGAGAACTGGTCCACGCAGGTGAGAGAGATGCTAGCAGATGCCGAAACTGATCAAGGCTAGATAGTACCTTCAGCTTTCCCATTCTGTCGTGGGTCAGTAGGCCCCTCCCGTGGTTCATGCCTAGGCTCAGATCAAGAAGTGCCACGATGACATATCTAATTACATACAGGTATGCTTCCTCAGTGCGACATATCACAAGCCCCTTCAGCATGCGCATGTCTCCCCCCTTTGACATGGTTCGCAGCTCTAGTTGGTCTGCTCCAATGCCCTTTCCAGGCGGAGAGCCATGCTTTGGGGGTGCCACCGCCACATCCTTGGACCTTTGTGGCTTTGCGATGCCAAAATCAACCTAGAAGCGCCCAATAGCAAACTATATTAGACCTTTTTCCTTTTCTTTTTTTTGTTTCCAGTAGCGATGGCCTCCAACCTACTAGAGATGGCTTCAACCCAATAGCAATGGCCTCCGACCGACTAGCGATGGCCTCCGACTGCACGTTTGCTGCAAACGAGGTCCTTTTGAAGACTTTCCCTTTTGGGGAGCGGCCTGTGGTAGAGACGGTGGAGGCGCGAAGCACCTCAGAGTCAACGGCGCGTGTCGCGCCGCGGCGGGCAACCGGTTAGCCGTCGAGGCACGCTTGATCTCCTGGAATGAGTTTGCACCGGAGAACCTGGGGCTTTGAACTCAGAATCTGACACCATGAGATGAAAGTGCATCGCTAGTAGTAACAAGTTCCTTACTAGTAGTAACAAGAAGCTACTAGGAACAAGTGCATCGCTAGTAGTAACAAGTTCCTTACTAGTAGTAACAAGAAGCTACTAGGAACAAGTGCATCGCTAGTAGTAACAAGTGCCTTACTAGTAGTAACAAGAAGCTAGTAGAAACATAAGTGTGAGAGATTCCAGACATGACATGGAAGTTGCCAGATTCAGACAAAGCCTGGCCCAAAGTATCCACAGGCCTTCCTGAAGCCATGAACAGAGTCGCGAACAACTTTGGCCAGCACGGTGCTCCGAATCACATGCTCAACCACCAAGGTGATCATTTCAATGTAGCTAGCTTGCAGGGCATGCTGGGCACAGACGCCTCCAACGTCGGCAATAGCCGCAATAGCCAGGCGCAGTTCAATGTGCCTGGCTTTCAGGGCAATGAGGTGGGCACACCTCCTGATCCCCTCAACTTCATGGGTGCCAGTGGGCTATCCTTGAGCAATGTGTTGAAGAGGATGGGGCAAGCTCAGGGCCAACTATCCCAGAGTCTAAGCTCTGCATTTGCTCGTGCGCCTGCAAAACCACAAGAGGTGCCCACAGTGAGCCTGCAAGCTCTTCGACTCGCAGATTCACTTGCCGTAAAGGCCGCATTTGCTGCTTTGAATCATCACGGCTTTGCATGGCTGGACTTTGGACGTCCAGATCGGGCGGGGGACACCACCATGGGCGGTGCGAACGATTCTCTCTCGAACTCGAGTGAGTATCTAGCCGAGATCGGGGACTTCTTGGCCCTGAACGAGCATGGCGGCAGCCCGCATGCCATGGAGGGACACTTCAGCGCGGCACACAAGGATGGCCTACGTGTAGTCACTGGCTCATGCATCAACCAAAACTTGTCATTGCCTGAGAAGATCCAAGAGAAGTTGACTCGGCTGGCCTTGGATTTGGATGAAGCACAAAGAGATGTCATCAAAGCTCTGGTGCCCTCGTTCTACTTTAATTCCCCCGCGGATATAGGTGAGTATTTGGACATCCCTTTGCTGTGCCCTGAGACCGCTGAGAGTGGCTTCCGGCAATATGGTCTGCTGGATGTGGTGCGATACCACGCCAATGGCCCAGCAGAGGTGGTGGCTCCGCATGTGGATCCTGGGCTTTTCATCTTGAGCTTGCCCTGTGGTGTTCCTGGGCTTCAACTGCAGGATGCCTTTGGAGAATGGCGCGCGCCACCAGCTGGACTCGGTGTCCTTTGGGCTGGTCAAGCTGCTGAACAGTTGCACTTGAAGAGTGGCATGCACCGGGTGGTCTCATCACCCACTGCGCGACTGAGTGCTTGGCATGAAATGTGCACACGTTCGCAGTTGTGTCCTCCAATGTTGCAAGTCTTGGAGGAGCATTCCTTGGAACTGAAGTTGGGAACAATCCGGGGCACGCGGGAAGTCTTGCGCTTCCTTCAGGCCAGTGAGGATCATCTTAATGTAAACATGGTGGAACGCCGAGGGGTGCCCGTGGGGAAATCTGGAGCCATCATCAAAGACATGTTTGTCCCTTGGAGGTTGGACAGTCATTTGCATGGATTGCCCCATTTTCCCGGACATGCGAAAAAAATCGCAGTCTGCTCCCCCACTCCCTGATGGAGCTGTGGAGATTGTGCCCAAACTCTGAGCACATGTCAGCAGAGCATGTGACAGGTGCAGTACCCAAGCCACCTGGAAACACTTGCAGACGTAGAGGTTGACTCTTGAGAGCTGTGAACCCTACCTTGCGTGCTGAGTCATGTACAGCAACGGCTGGTGCACCGCAGGGAAAAGTGAGGATGGCTCCGGACTGGACATGCATTGCGTTCACTCAAGATTCCAAGCTTTCCGCCTCCAACCTATTAGCGATGGCCTTCCACCTACTAGCGATAGCCTCCAAGGCTCCAACCTAAGAGCGATGGCCTCCAACCTATAATATACATATATACTGTATATAGATGCCTCCAAGTTGCTTAATGTAGACTGGAAAGCAGACCAGTTGATCCACCAAGGCAGCTGAAACTGGTGCGGGGGAACACTCAACCAGGGCTTGGAAATCGTGGAGGTGGACAACGGTCTTCAACTCGGACGTGTCAAATGGAGCAAGTCACTTCCTAGTCGCCCCCCTGGACGTAGGACAGGCGGTTTCAGCTGCTTCTGAAGCAGCACCTTTGTAGCGAAGAAACGGGAGCCATTCGGGACGATCTAACATCAACCCTGCCTTGTGTTGGTTATGCGAAGCAAGCTTAGTCATGGAGTGTGAGCCAGTGGACAACTTCTGAGGTGCGCCAGCATTTGCCTGTGTGACCAGGCCAGACGTTTGTTTTCATATCAGGTGATATCAGGTGTGCATGTATGATCACGCATGATCAATGAATCTCCACGTGATGATCCACGTGATGAAGGATCTCTCGCCATCCCACTTGACCTCCGCCCTTCCATCGCTCCAGTCCAGGCGGAGGTCCACTTCCCTCACTTGGGGCTTCTCTTGGTCGAATGTCTTAGACCGACCGATCCGCCGAACTGGCGAAGCGACCGACCGATCCGGATGCGCCAGTGACCCCCACCAAGGCCATGCGGATTTGGAGGAGTAGGGAAGCTACTAGTAACAAGTGCCACGCTAGTAGTAACAAGTGCCTTACTAGTAGTAACACTGTTTGCTATTGTTCCTGATCCGGATGCGCCAGTGACCCCCCACCAAGGCCATGCGGATGGGAGATCTGGTGGAATGGCCGCATGGCTGACCGGAACGGACCGGTCAGACCGCGACAGACCGCGACAGACGGGAAGGCTCCGGCTGAACGAGCGGTTTTGGTCCCTTTTTGGCTCCCGCGCCCAGCAGGAACAGGGATGGCCATCATCATTGTCCTAGAAGATCCTAGAATCCTACATGAAGCTAGGGAACTTTTCATCAAAGGTCTTCCAACATCGGCAGCCAAAGTCAAACCAAGGCCCAACGCTTGGTTTCAAGAAGAGACGGATAACAAGGAGAAAGTCACGGTGAGGAGCCCAAGGCATTTGTGTGTTACCTTGCGCCAGCCAGTGACGGAGCCTCGCAAGATGTCCTCAGGTGGAAGACATGCGAACTTCCCATGCTGCAACCCCAGCGTCGTCATGCGTTGCCATGCATTGTGAGAGAACACTGGAACACGTACCCAGGAAGAAATACTTTCTCAGCGTGGCTGGACCGAGGCATACGTGTCAGACTCCTTGATGCTGGATGTCAGCTTTCATGACAAGCAGTGATCACAGAAGACCCCAAGAGCCAAGCGGATTGCCAACCACACACTTGTCTAGACCGCAGGTCTACTTGCGGTCTATGGCTTCCCACCTACGTTTGACTCAGGTCTGTGCGGCCCACGCCCACTGCCAGCTGACGCCGACAGCTGGGCGTGGTCCAAAATGGTCTCTCCACGTCGCTCGAAGACTCGAAGACCTGCGCGAAGACGGTCTCGTCACGCGTCGCGTCACGCGTCATGCGTCATACGCGTCTCGCGGAGTTTGCATGTCTGCACCATTCTGCACCCTCTGCATTTATGAAGCCCTGGATGGCCCTGGCCCAAGAGGAAGGACGCAAGGCGACATCAAGTTGGATTTAGCCGAGTGGACATGAGTGGACCAAGGATCTATTGTAATCTCGATGTAGCTGTTTTGGCCTGGACAGACTCTGGCTAGCAAAAATGATCCAGTCCTTCCATTCTTCTCGTCTGCAAGCTGCAGCCACAGCAGGGGGAACAGGATGCGCGTCGCGAGATGCTGCATGGCACGTGGCAGGGTCACGCAGAGCCTGAAAACACCACAGCAGATGCCTCAGTCAAAACACCTCAGTCAAAGCGATTTCGTGATTTGTTACCCGGTCCGAGACTCTCCAGCTTGCCCTTGCTGACTAGAATTGCATTGCTTTGGGCTCCAGCGATTGAGTATAGTATAGCCCACGGATTCGATTGAGCTGATCAGACCCTAAACCATGGTGTCTACTTTTCTCGGATTGGCCGCCTGGTTCGTCCAGGTGCAGGGTCAAAGCTTCGTCATCGACGACAACACCTACTCCCATGAATGGCTGTCTAGGACTGTCATGCCGAGCAAACGCAGTGACATGACTGCCACAACAGTGGGTGATGGAATCTACCTCATTGGCGGATGCGACAATGATCAGGAATGGAGCACTGGTGCTGGAATGTACCTGTGCACTGGCCTGACCAAGACCACGCACAAATATCTCCCTGCCACCGATTCCTTCGAGAGCCTTCCAGAAGCGCCGCGCAGCCGCTACCGCCATGCGGCTGCGGCGGTGGGCAGCCGCATTTTCATGTTTGGAGGGCGCGACATCGCGGACAACATTATCCAAGAAATTGATGTCTTGGACACCGAGACATCTTCATGGTCAACACTGTCGAACCCAATGCCCAATGCAACCTCTGACTTGTCGGCGTTTGTGGACGGAAATAGCATCTATCTGCTTGGAGGCTACAATGCCATCTATGCAGCACAAGATCAGGTCATGATCTTTGACACAGTGGAAAGCACTTGGAGCCCATCATATCCACTGACTCAAGGGCGTGGCGATGCTGCTTCGGCCATTGCCTCAGGTGTGGCCTTTGCGCTGGGAGGTTTCAGTCATGAGAACAACTTCGCTGCGCCATTGGATCATGTGGAGGTCTTCTTTACTACGAACCCCTCTGGAGGCTGGAAGTCCCGCTCTGCCATGAAGAAGGCTCGAGGTGATAAAGCCGTGGCAGTGCTCAATGACATGCTTCACGTCATTGGTGGAGAAGCGAAGAATGAGAATGGACACTCCGCCGCCTTGATGGACGTGGAGGTCTATGATGCTCGGACGGACACTTGGTATGTGGGTGGCAGTATCCCATCGCAGCGCTTTCGCTTCGTTGCGGCGGCGCATGGAGACTCGATCTACATCTTTGGTGGGCAGGGCGCGTTGATGGGAACCTACGGAGAAGCTGGCTCGAAATATCCCATCTTGGATGTGGTGGAGCAGTACAAAGAATCAGTGACTCAAGCAGTCAGTTCAACTCCAATCTTGGCCACCTTCAGTGCATTGTCCATGTTCATGCCATTCTCCTCCATCTTCATGTGCTGAAATGAGATGTGAGATGAGTGAAGGTTTTAGAGCAGTCTACTATGGAAGCAGACTGAAACACCTCGGACCTGCGTTCGAGGCGTGGCGCACTTGCACTTGCATAGCGCAGGAACTGCATACCTTTCATACTTGCAGCACTCAGTTTTCCAGAGCACATCCGGGGCCTACTGCAGAGTACAGTAAAATATTTCTTTGGACCTGTGGTATGCCGAGACGTGCGTGCATGTGCGTGCTCAACAAAAATGATCTTAACAAAAGCAAAAGATGGAGGTCTATTGTCACGTTTCACTCAACGCCGAACTCACGGCACGACAGCACGCACGTAAGTCTTGGCCTAGTGGAGCTAAGCCTTGGATGCATCGGCTGAATCTGTCAGCTCAGAGCTGCACGCGCAGCCAAGCAGGCAAAAAGGATCGGACACATGGGCTGAAAAGGGGCTGAAAAGAATCTGAAAAGATGGAATCTGGAACAAATGGATCTGAAAATAATCTGACAAGTTAACATCTGTGTCTGAAACTTAACAGAATCCGAAAAGATGGAAGGCATGCAGCTTTTGGGGGACCATTTTCCAGTTCGCCTCAAGAAGCACACGTCACTGGCGGGCGCTTCGGCCTCTGAGGCTCCATGCTGGCACACGCACCCGTCCTTCCGGGACACAGAGTCGGCCTTGAGGATCGGCGAGCCGCACTCGAAGATCGAGTTGGCGCGGATCGGCGTGACCAGACGACCAGGTCTAAACATGTCTGTAGACTCTTGATTCACAACCCCACCCAAATGAACATCCTCTTCATACGAGGGGTGTATTAACCAAGAGTCTATGTCTACTGGAGCAGTTTTTGGACATCATATATTCCTATGTCACTCGGAGACGGAAGCTGCATGTTGGATCTCCGCAGCAGAGAGTGACTCCAAGCATGATCCGGTCGAGTTCAGAGCGGGGGGACAGCCCCTCCCGGCTACGTGGCACCTTGTCATGTGCGTCCTTAGCCTCGAGTGGACTCTTCACCGGCACGTTGATGTCCCGGCGTAGCCGATCGGCCTCGGTGCCGGGACAGACGCCCAGGAGCCGGAATCATGGGAGATCCTACTCACCGCGACGCTTCGCGTCACGACATGTGCCCTCGGCCGCGGAGGAGTTGGCGCGGAGTGAAGCCATTGACCCGATGGTCATCAAACGCTTCGATGGATTGATGAAGCACTTGAAGAGGAATACAGACAAGCAGGACTTTGAGAAACAGGTGCTGGCCTCACCATGTGATGCTTTGGTGCCTGAGGAGTATGATGAAGTGCTACGAGGGGAATTTGCTCGACATTGCAGCTATGGGGAGCGCTTGAACACCGAGCTGATGCACTCGGGCAAGTGGATCAAGATGCTGAAGAAGCTCGGCTTCATGCCAAGCTTTGAAAAGGAAAAGAAAGATAAGAACAAGGAGAGCAAAACTAGACGAAGACAAGGGCCTTGCCTCACATCGCCGGCGGTTGCGGACATCATCTTTCAGCGAGTGCTTCATGACACAGATTATGGTGGTAAGCGCTTGACCTACGACTTCTTTTGCAAAGCTCTGTGCTTGGTGGCCGCCAACATCTATCCTGAGCTGGATTGGGAAGCAGCCATGCAGGAACTGCTCAGCCGAGTAGCCGCAGCTGCCGAAGAGGTGGAGCTGGTAGAAGAGGACGGATACTGCACTTTGAACTGCTACGTTATATAATCACACATTATAATATACCGTACATGATATATATATATATTATACACTGGGCTATATTATAGTATCTATCTCGTTGTCTCTGTCTCTGTTTTTGAATCTCTCTCTCACTAGAGGCCAGAGAGCCATGTTGTTCGAGGACTTCTTGTACATGTCTTGACACCACCTTCTAGGTGCGTCTGCCAAGTGCAGGAGCCTCCAGATTTCTCCTTGGATCCCAATGTGCTTTTGGTTCTGGAGCACTTCAAGCCCAAATTGCATGACCTCTTTCGCTCCTTTGCTTGCCGTCAGCTCCGGGGACCTACGGATGCGAAGGTGGGCAGTGGCACGACCAGATTGAAGGAACGGACCATTTGGAAGCAGACACAGGAAACCATGCTCGCCTCCAGGGTATCTTCTTGCAGAGGCACCTTGAAGGAGATTGATGGAGATCCTTCAGAGCTTGAGGGTGAAAGCACACGGACATCTTTGCCTTGTGTCAAGGAGTGTGAGGGCACTGGCATGGAAGTGGCTTCTCCAGAGGCAAATCAGGTCGGTTCCTCACCTTTGCCAAATCAGGTCGGTTCTCCCAGGAAGGCCATGCTCCCCGCGGGGGGCCATTGGCTTTGACATGAGTTCTCGAGGGATATCTTCACGTAGTCAGTCTCTGCTGGCTTGGGCGGAGAATCAGGGATACTTTAGCCCTGTAAGCCCTGGCAGCAAGAAATCCATGAGCAGTCGTGGCCAGTGGAGTCCCTCGTCCAAGGACCCCTATACCTATGCATGTGGCAGCCCCACCATGAGGAATCGTCAAAGCTACATGTCTCTGGAGCAGCTTTTCTCACTGTGCAAGGAGCTCAAGATCATGCCTGATGTCATCAACCGGCAAACCGTCGTCAGAATTTTCAAGAGGGCACAATGCGCAGGATCAGCAAGTGCACACGCAGGCAGTAACTTTGGATACCTCACGCAAGAGGCCTTCGTTGATTGCATTGGCCGGATTGGCATCGAAGCCTATTCGGATGCCCCCTACTGCGACGAGTACCCCGAGCCACATGAGAAGATCCATGCATTTCTGTGTGATCGACTTCCCGGTGAGATTCGAACGATGCGAGACCGTTTTCTCTATGGTTGTAGTGGTCGAGGGCCCACAGTACAACCTGGCTACATTGGCGGCTAGGACCGCATGCGAACGGAGCGTCTCACACTTTCGCAGAGCGAGCCGCCTCAAGGGCGATGTCATTTCTGCGCAGTGATGGCCTCAAGTCGCAGGCACATCCTTCGTTGCTGTGCGCAAAGCGCACCAAGTGAGCAATGAGCATCGTGCCATGAAAGGTGTCACTCTTCACCGTGTTTAGTTCTTGAACACTTGTTTCATTTTGTTTCTCAAGTCCTTGAACGTCAGGAGTGCTGCGACGTCGGCACACGTGCGTGCCGCTCGCGTTCTGGCTTTTCCGTGTGCATTTAGTGTCCCGCGCCGTCCCAGGAGTGGCGGGCTGGGCGACAACATCTACGAGCAACTCCTTCGGCTTTCTCAGGCGCTTTCTACGAGCAACCCAGGAATTGGGCACCCCACCAACAACATCGGGACGATGCCTTCTGATTTCGCAACAGCGAGAGTGGTTTGTATATGAGACCTCTCAAATAGACAAAATCGTCGGCCCTTTCCGAAAGAGCACGCGAGTGAAACTGGAAGATGTTCAACTGTTCCCAATTGTTCAACAGTTCCCAATCCTGTGACATCTCCCGCTTTGTCCAGGTTCGTTTGTTAGGCTATGTCGGGCGCGGATCCATTCCAATCGCCACCGCACGTGGCTTGGTTGCCACCGCACGGGAGCGGGCCGCACCACCGCTCCACATCACAAACAGCTTCTACATGAAGTTAGTTCCTAGTCTTGAGGGCTCTTTTCGACCAGCATTAGCTAACCCAGTGTGCGACAGATGCGAAGTCTCGTGGCACACTCGGCAGGTCTTCTTCAGATTTTGCAAGTTACTGAGTGATAGATAGTCAGATAGTCCTAAGCTGTGCCCTGTCAAGATGCAGAGAGAGAGAGAGAGACAGAAAGAAAGAAAGAAAGAAAGAAAGGAAGAAAGAAAGAAAGAAAGAAGGAACTCAATAAATAAAGAAAGAACGAAAGAAAGAAGCCTGATCAGGCACTAACCAAGCTGACTCAATTCCCTGCGTTCTTAGGGAATTTCACATCTGGGTTTCGGTCCTGGGACTTCATCATGTTTAGCCCATCCCACATCTGAGGATGGGCTGACTTCCTGCAGGACCGGCAACCGCACAAGATCCTGAACCCAAGGCTAGTGGTAGCTAACTAAGCCGATCCCGCCAGATGCCCCTGCGTCATTGGCAGGAATTGATTCAGCAACGGAACCACCTGCGTGTTTTTTGTGCCCCAGCGGCTGCGCTGCTATTGCTGCTGGATGCTGAGCTCAGTCTCACAGCCATTTAACTGCAATCGGTCAGCCTGAAATGCTGGCAGTTGTCAGTTCAAAATAACTTCAAAGCCGCAGTTGCAGCCTGATTGGAACCAGAGCTTTCGCCACTGAAACAGTGTGCAGACGTCAAGCACAGACACCTTCCTCAATGGCCTCCAACCTGCTGGCGATGGCCTCCAACCTATTGCTACTAGATCTACTAGTAGCAAGGGCCTTCCAATTCCGCAATCATCCAGAAACCTGCGAGTCCTTGGAAGCGACTCCTGGAGCAACGTGCCACGATGTCACGTGGAACAACTTGGGCACTTCGCACATCGAGGCCGCCATCGTTCGACGCATGAAACAAGACACACACTGCATTTCAATACAGTTCACTTTTTCCACTTTTTCACATTTCAAGATTTCAAGATATCTCAAGTTAAGCAGCCAGGCCAAGGTGACAGATATATATATATATATGCGAAGCACACGGGCGCAAGTACCCCTCGGAAGGAACTGTTTCTGTCCTTGCTAAGTGGGGCGCTTGAGTCGAGACGAGATCACCGGGAACGAGTGAGTTCGTGACCCTGGAATGCAAATTCTGCACGGGTCCATACTATTAAAAAAATTCTAGTGCCACTTTCAATCAAGAGGTCCCTTTCCATCTTGTTTTCTCTTTCGACCAGAAACCAGGGACTCATCGTAAACGATCCGCCACCTACCACTTCGTTCATTGAACATGTGAATCTGATGAGGTTCATTGTCTTTGGTGAGGCTATTCGACAACTGGCTTTCTCCGTTCACCCACCGCAGGTGAACCTGGTTAGCGTTCAGGGCCTCTTTCAAGCACAGGGTTTCAATGTCACTTCGCTTTTCCGCACCTCCCAAGGTCAAGATGGTGGAAGAAAGCCGATCGTACAGGTTACGACTGTCACTCACGAGGGCACCTGGGACCTTATTGACCGTTTCGTCAGGGGACCATTCATTTCCATGGTGGCCAAGGAATTCCGCCAGCTGGAATCGAAGTGCATACATCTGGTCTTCCCCATCCACAGCAGCTCGTGTTTCTGCTGATGCGCTCGAACGACAGACCCTCGAAATTTTCGAGGAACACCAAAAGATGGGGTTGACTTGTGAGAGTTCTCCTTGAAGGATCCTGGAATCTGTACATCCAATCAACACTCCCTTGGTGCTGCTTAAATCAGGCCTGTTGCCATAGGCAGCGTCAACCCAAGTTGTCAACATAAGATCATCTTTATTCAAGGTATGTATGATCATGCATTGCCCTTGCCTGGCCTTGGCCTTTTTAAGAAGCTTGTTTGCTTCGAGAAGGTCGGTCACCTGGGCCTTGGGCACTTTCGAAAGGAGAAGGCCTGTAGGGGCACTAAGTTCCATTGCTAGTTGCCCTGCATGCCATGCTAAACATCCAAGAACACTTCTCATCTGTTTTTGTTCTTCGGGAGAGGCGGAAGCTTCAAGGTCTTTGCTTCTCTGTTTTGGTATGTAGATCTCTGACACTTGCTCCAGGAATTCTGGTTGTGAGATCTTGAAGGAGAAGTCTCCTCGTTGTTCAATGTTCACACCACACTGTACAAACTTCCCCTTCTCCCACTCTCCAAATTTGAACCGAGTAGTGATTGCTGATTTCACATGTTGCCAGCGCAAGTCGGTCTCGTCACCTCCAAACAAGAAGTCGTCGACGTGCGAGCAGATCCATGCTATAGGGCTCTGACTTTGATCAAAGAGTCCCCAGCAGCAGGGGTCGGCTTTTTGTCGAATGAATCCTTGTTGTTCCAGAAATTCATCCACTGACAAGTAGAATTCCAGTGGGGCTTGAACCAGGCCGTATGCTGCTTTGGCAAGTCTTGTGATCGAACCTTCAGGTAGGTTCATAGCTTCAGCAATTTCCTTGAGTGGTTCAATGAAGAGTTGGTCTTGAAATTCACGACCCTGAAGGAAGGCGCCGGAGATATCTCCCTTTTCCACTCGGAAGTGGTGAGCCGCGCAGAGTGTCAAAAACAACTGCCTTGTACTTTTGTTCATCGTTGGGCTCGCCGTGGGGCGAGTCTCATACAGCGGGTCTTGATAACCCAGTATGACTGCACGTGCCTTTGCTTTCTTCTGGTCGGGATTCTCCTTGTCGCATTTCCATGTCAGTATCCAGCGCATTTTCAACACCTGGCTGGCATCTGGCTTCATGTGGTCAGGGATCTTCTTGAAGACCTCCGCAAGGATGTAGTTTTTCACTTCTTTTTGTTTTGCCTGTCTGAACTGTTCTAGTTCTGTTGGTGACCGTCTTCGTTCGGATACCTCCACATGGTTCTTGCGGCTTTGACTGATCACAAACGCTGCCAGGTCGCGAAGCCAATGTTTTTGTTTCCTGTTTGCCTTGTCTGGCATGTCGATAGCAATTTGAATGCTACCATGTTCATCTTCCAGGAATGTTGCTGGTGTCTCTGACGTTAGTGCGATCAAGCTTTCATCACCTTCTGTCATCTGCTGATCGAGAGCTTCACGTCGATGGTGTTTTGCTGGTGGTTGTTCCGGTTCTGGTCCTTTCCGACGATGTCTAAAGCGAGGAGGTGGTGGTGCTCCTGGTTGGTCAGGGATGATCTCTGGATCGTCATTTTCCTCCCAGTCCAGTGGTGGTTCAATCTTGGTCAGGTCCTCAAAGGTCTTGTTTTTACTCTGTTCCAGGATGCTGGTCACCGTCCATGGAAGAGGTTGGTCCTCTTTCAACTCAGCCCATGCTTCTTCACGTTCGCTTGCATGCCTTAAGAGCTGGGGGGTGGCCTTGAGCAACTTGGTTCCACGGAAAATCCAAATATTTTGACCTGGTGATCGTTCTCCGGTTTCCGACAGTTTGGTCTCAGTGGCCAACACCTGAGCGGGACTTATGAATCCACCTTTCTTGAACCCTTGACCTTTCACCTCATGACCGTGACCAGCGAGTTGTTTTCTCCAATAAAACACCAGGTCACCTGGTTTGAAGGTGTTCTGAACCCTACTTCCGGAGGCCTGTGCCCTGGAAAGCCTATGTTTATATTGTTCTTCACTGAAGGATTCCTCAGCAATCTTCATGGCTTTGTTATCTTCTCCAAACTCGGCGGTCACACCTCTTTCGGTGATCAGCGGAACCTCGTCACATCCCCTATCGTGAATACATCCATCTTCACATGGGTTCCTACCAAGAACATGTTGAAGGGGGGAGAATCCAAGGTATTGATCCCGAGAGTTCTGCGCCCAGAGCGACCGACAAAACACTTCACGACACGACATCTCCGGGCACTCCGAAGCGAGTTTCGACATCATGTTTTTGGTGGTTTGGATCGCTCGTTCAACATGAGGTATCTTCCAATGGGCTTCGGCAGGAATCTGTTCATTGACAATCTTTTGATTCAACAAGTACTCGTCCAGGCGTTCACTTCTGAAAGGTCCAGCGGGGTCCATCCTAATGCAAGCAAGGTTTCCGAAAACCGGCTTCCAATACTCCTCCAAAAAGGTAACCAAGTCTTCACCTGACATGCTGATCTTCTTACCGGGTTTCAGGATCATCCCCCGTCGGAATCGGCTTCCCTCATCAATCCCCAAAAGGAAGTGGAAGTTCTCTTTGGTCTCAGGATGGCTCCATGACCCTCCATCCACCTGAACGCGGGCCCATTTAGGTGGGATGTCTTCCAGGGAACCCTGAACTCTTGGTTTCGAAACGACATGTTCTTCGCAGGTCGAACAGCGGAAGTTTTTCGCAAGTTCAATGGTCTCATGGTCCGCGTTTCTCCTTTTGAGGGCCTTCACCAAGTAATCCCTACTGCAATGACCCGTGGCGGCGTGGATTCGACGAAGCGCGCGAAGGACCGACGATTTTCGATCCGGCGACATGGAAAAAGCTTCTTCGATCCCTTCCTGATGATGGTTGGAATTGTCATGACCATGGCTCATGTTCATGTCTCCAAAAAGGTTCATTCCGTCTTTGAGTTCTTGGGTGACATGTTTGCAAAGATCATCACGCTTCATGACAGTCACAACCCTCTTACAAAAGGTGGGCGTATAGAAGGCAGTTTGTCGGCATCTCTTTTGTCCCTCACATTTTCCATGAACATGATCTCCACTACACTTGAGGGTCATATGGTGTATGATTCCTTTCACCGTACCCAACAACCTCCACCCTTTTCCCAGGAGCTCCCTTTGTTCATTTCGGAGGCCTACTTGACATCCTTTGCAGACCCCCGACACACACGGGACTCTGTTTTGCAAAATGGAAAAAGAGGTTTCACTCCACCCCTCACATCTCTCCGAGAGTTCAATGATGAAGGGGATATTTTCTTTGTGGGCTTCCTCCGCAATTTCACAGCACCCTTTGTACTGCTGGCGCGCACGGGCACGTTTTTCCGCAAGGTCTTGTCGTTGTTTCTCAGTTTTCATATTGAGATGTTGCATGGGAGAAAAAGGTCCACACTCTGGTGACAACCACACAAGACCAGGTCGGGTCTCCTTCATAACACGAATGATGTGTTGAGTGCCGGCCTTTGTTTCCACATCCCCACCATTGTAGGCGGAGAGTCGTCGTGCGCTCCCGTCGCCAAACACTCTGTTACATGTGTTGGAGAGTTCACTTTCGGGGTCACAACACACCTCCAACAACCTCAACCGATTCCCGTAGGCCACCTGACACCAGTCACTCTCAAAACCACGAGAAAGACCAAACAAAATGTCCTTTTTGTGGTGTTCCCCCAAAATAATGAATCTCTCCCCCATATTCAGAGGTCAAATGCGCTCGAGATTGATCCTCTCTCACTCGCCGAACTCCGTCTCCTTTCCCTTCTTGCGGGTCTTGGCCAGTTCGTCGTCCTTCTTGGATGAGCTCTTGCTGACCATCGCCTTTTGACGTTGGAGTTCGTGGATCTGGGCTTCGAGCTGTTCCACCATCTCGTCCGCCTCCCGTTCGGATGAGGAGGTGTCCATGGGGATCTTGACGAATGTCCCGTCGGTGGAACTGGAAAATGAGGGCTCTTCGATGCGCTGAGGACGGAGGAAGGCTTTCGCCTTCGCTGTTCCCCCACTGCTCATGATGGGGTATCCCTTCTTCATGCCGGTTGTCTTCTCTGTCTCCTTCTGCTGGTCGATCCACTTGAGATAGCGGGTCATCTGCCAGCATGTGGTCTCTTTGAGGGATGTCTGGTGGCACCACCCAGTGTAGTCTGGGTGTTGTTCCTGGACTTCCTGGTAAGTCAGTGGAGCAAACTTGCCGAATCCCATCATGTCGGTTGCCAGCGGGGGCTTGTTCTCCATAATCGCCTGGTTTCCCAGAGAGAGGAGTCGACTGATGGTTTCGTTGCCCGTGATCGTAACTCCCAGTTTCTGAGTCAGGAACACCTGCAAATCGTGTTTCTTCTTGGCGGCTTTGTTCATTTCCTTCAGCAAGTCGTCGTGGACTTTGGCCTCGGGATTTTGGTCCTTGAGCTCCACTAGACGAGCTTCCAGCTGGTTCTTGCGCCATGAATCTGGGGGTGTCTCCCCGAACTCCTTGATCTTCTGGCGGAGGACTTCTTTGGTCATGCCGGGCATCTTGACACGAGGTAAGGGATGTACCACTAGGGTTCAGGCTTTGAGTGAGGTTCAAATCTGCGGTTGGCGTGAGTGTACACTGACGATACGAGCCGATCGAACCCTTGGACTGGAACGGTAGGGGAATGTGTTGTTCCATAGGTGGTTGATGAGGCCTCGGTTGTTTGACAGGTGGCTTCACGTTTCCGGTTTTGTCCTGAATGACATCAACAGCAAACACAGGATTGAAAGTGGCACTTACTTGATCTGACTACTTGTCCCTCCCAAGGCTGGTCAGCTGTTCCATTTTGCCTTGGAAGGAGTTGTCCCTATTCGGGATCACGTGACTCAAGCAAGCCATAGAAGGGCTTTTCCCTTCGACAGCTATCCCTATACACATCGGAGGTCAATGGAAAAACCTGGTGGCCGCTTGGGGTTGTTTCCAACGACAGCACGCGGTGTGGGTCAACGCGTTTCAACAACATCTGGTTCTTCTCATAGTCAATCACAGCTCCAAGGCTTCGCAGTGAAGCGATGCTCAAGAGAATGGCGGCTGATTGGGGATGTCATGTACGTGCACCTTCATGGTGCTCATTCCTCCATGCAGCGGAACTGGCAGCTGGGCGGTGGACAGGCAAACTGTCCGGCCGTTGTTCCCAAATCGAAAGCTCGGGCGTTCCGAGGGGTCAACTTGGATGTCACGACTCCTCCCTTGTCCCGCATTGATGTCGTTGATGTGGGTCAACGCATCCACACTGCCCACTGTAGAAGTGGCCCCAGGATCGATGATAGCCTGCCTCCAGAAGCGAACCCATCGCCAGGTTGGCAGACTCTTCAAAAACTCCTGATGTGTCTGATGGTGGTGTAGCCCTTGACTCAATTGTATCACCTGAAGCGGTTGCAGTAAAGGTGAAATGCACTGCTTGTTGACTGCCTTGTTGTTCTTCACGTTTGGGACAGGCATCTGTCCGGTGAGTTCCTCCACATCGGAAGCACTTCCGATCTGAGGTCATTCTTTCTGTTTTCCACCCGCTTCATGGGGTAGAATTGTCGGCTCTTTCGCATCATGGATTGTTTCTCACGAGCGTCTCGGAGGGTCCTCCGGGCACCTTGTATTGCGGCCAGTGCTTCTTCTGATTCTTGCGTGAGGTAGTTGTACTCTTCAATCTCCTCTTCGGTCATCCATGTTGGCGCCGGCGGTGGCATACCTTCATGCAGGAAGGCGTCATCTTCTTCATAGTCCTCTGCAATGAGGGTTGATCCGCGGGTCTGATCCCGTTTTCTGAGGTCCTCCTCAGTCCAGTTCAGCTTGAGAGCTTCTTTCACTTTCTCGGTGGTGAAATGGTTCCTCAAGCTGGCGATGATGGTGGCACGTTCTGACCCGTCAAGGCCTGAGCGTTGCAGCAGCATCCACGCCACGACAAAATCTGGCAAGAACTTTTCAGCTTCAACCGATGCGTGATCTGAGACATCGGCTTGGTAGATGTTCTCGCTTGTCATGTAGTGTGCATTGCCTTTCTCCCATGACCTTTGGTCATTCCAGTAGTGATAGCTGTAGGGTTGATCCCACCAGCCATCATTGGACCACCACTGAGGTCGATGCCACTGTAGTTCTTCTTGTTGGGCTCCATCCGTGGTTTCACCTAGCTCGGCGTCATGCCGTGCTGGATTGGATTCTCGAGGACTGTGGAACCCTGGTTCCTCATCTTCTTGATGAGGGGCTGCTGCACTCTGATGTGATCTGGTCTGGCTCGCCGATGACCTAAAAGCTGATGGCCTTCGGGTTGAATATCCCTTTCCATATTCTTCGATGGCCTCTGCTAGTGTCAGCCTCATAGAGAGCTTCATCATGCCTGACAATCCAGGCGTTCATACACTCTCCCTTTCGTCGTTTCACCTGGTAGAAGAATTTGGAGATCGTCTTGCCTGCTTCTGCCAAGGTCGGAGCTTGTACTCGTGTTCGTAGGAAAGCCAGCAATTCGTGAGCGCCCCACTCATGAGAAATCCACCCCGGTGATTTGTGCTGGACTGCGGTCTTGGCGGCTCCTTCCAAGACAGATTGGAGTCTTGGACCAGCAAGCGGTCTCTTCTTCCATTCCAGTGTCTCCACGTAGTTCAGTGCAGCTCTTTTGTATGGTATGTAGAGGTCGGACGACCCGTCAAAGATGGGAACCCCATCCTTGCTGTACCTAAGTTCAGCCATGCTTGTAGCCAGCGACTATGGATCTCTTCCAAAACGATGTCCCTGGATCTTCGCCCGGCTCCCTTCTTTCTAGAAGGAGCCGGGCTCCGCTACCATGCGAAGCACACGGGCGCAAGTACCCCTCGGAAGGAACTGTTTCTGTCCTTGCTAAGTGGGGCGCTTGAGTCGAGACGAGATCACCAGGAACGAGTGAGTTCGTGACCCTGGAATGCAAATTCTGCATATATATATAATAAATAAATATATATATATATATTGTACACTATGTATCACTATGTACGTTCTTGGTATCTACTTTGAACTCAGGATTGTGCAGTTTTCATTTTTTGTAGGCTCATATGTTAGTGAGTTATGCTCTTGCAAGGGGTTCTGAGACTAAGTGCGATCAGTCCAAGCAAATTCAGTGCCAGGAATACCCGAAGCTGAGAACAGCAGCTGACCTTGTGCTGAAAGATGGTGTTCGAAAGTGGACACCTTGGCGGGAGGCAGCCAGTGGCAAATAAGAACAGGAGTTATATGATCACCTGCCAACCAAATCAAACAACCAAAATTGCAAAGGAACCATACATGAGCTCATATCATATTGATCCCTTATCGGGGGACCTAGTGTCACACACCCAGAGAGAGAGAGAGAGAGATATAGATAGATATATATATATATATATACATGGTAATATTACTTATTGTTAGATATCACATACTTGATTAGATATCACATGACGCAATCATTTTGCATCACCTCCGTTTTGAAGAATCGAAGCGACGTCGCGACTTCGCCGCCGGAGCCGCCTTCGCCGCAGGTCCTCGCCGCGGCGGAGCGCGCCGTGTCGGGCGCCTGGACGGTGGCCGAGCGTTGGCGCCGGCGCTGCGCTGAGCTTCAGGTGCGGAGAGGTCCGAAGAAGCGAGGTCCGAATGACTTGGTAAACAGCCTAAGAGCCCGAGATCTGATCTTGAGGGTCAGCACTGGAGCATGACAGTCTGAAATGGGGCTGTTTGGATGAACCCTGATTTAAGCTCCAGATTTGGCGAATTGGATGTTGCCCCGTGCGGTCGGGTTACTTTAGGAGCAACTCTTTTGCCACATGCGGAGCATCGCAGCGAATCGCATCAGCCCAGTGGACGCATAGAAAAGAACTTGAACAGCTTCCATTGCCCTCCAGTGCCGTCCCTTTTGTTAAGCTGCGACATTGTGCGACCCACCTCTGCCAGACATGCCAGACAGAGGGCTTGGGGGAGGGCTTCCTTCTGGCAACGTTCCACGGTCAACTCCTTGCCACCGGACGTTCGCCACCGGAGCGGTTACTGTAAGCGGTGAAACCACGGAGCCGAAGGGAGGAGGCGGACACTTCGACGCCAGGATGACCTGTCGCCTGTGGCGTTGGCATGTTGGCATCCCTTTGAAGCTCCGATCCCAGGTTCGGTGTGGGGGACCGTCCTGCAGGTTTTGTGCAGCTTCCCCCCACCGATCATTCATCAAGATCAGTAGACGGTAGACTCTACAAGAGTGTAACGATGCATTTAGAAGTCGAATTCCGGATTGACTCTCATTCTGATGCATGTGATGACTTGGGCAGCAACTAGAACAAATTAAATCACAGAGGGCGTGACTGCTCTCTTTGATCTCTTGAGTGGCTCCCATTTGAGTGGCTCCCAGGTGAACGTCACGCTTGCCTTTCTGGACTAAGCCCCTTGGGAAGAGCTTCCCCGTCCTCCTTCTGGCATTTCATGCGTGGATTCTTTGTCGAGGAGCCGGGGGGGCAGGGTCCAGGGAACCTTCAGCTGAGACTGCAGAGCCAGACAGGCACTGTATTCAGATGACCATCCCGACTTTTGCACTGAGACAAGCCGTTTCTAGGCGCTCATGTCGAGCATGCTTTGCTATAAAGAGATGATTTGGGAGCAGCAGATCACATCTTCAGTTCTTCATGACTAGTTCAATAGTAGTAACAAGAAGCTACTAGGAACAAGTGCCACACTAGTAGTAA